GGAGGGGGGGAGAGGAGGGGAGAGGAGGGAAGGGTGGATGGGATGAGGCACTCTTCCCGCAGGGTGATCCTTGAGAGTGGGAACTTCTCCGGTCTTTCCTCTCTGGTGAAATCAGCGCTCACTGAAAATGCTTTTATGGGGACTTTCTGAGCATCAAGGATTCCTTCCCAGTCAAGACCCTCGGAGATGCAGTCAACTGGGTGGGCTACCTTAGCGCAGAGGCTATGCCTTCGCTCTGTGCCGGACTGGAGGTCAAGGGAATGAATGCCCAGAGGACTTTAAGACCTGTCCCCCTGGTGCCGCACCAAGTACCCCCACGCCCTGGCACTCCAAGAGGAATTCCAGCCCTGGCAGCTCCCTCGGCCTCTCCTGGAGGCTCTGCTTGCAGAAGACCTGAGTCTGTACTTGCGGGCCCTGGTGACCTGACTTCCACTGACGGTTGGCATGAAGAGCCAGCTACTGCCTGAGGGCATAGAGAGGCTCCCAGGATGTGGGGAGCATGGCTGACAGACCTGGCTTACTGCTGGCAAGGGGAAGCACGGTAGCCCCTGGAGCCTGCTTCAGCCCTACCTGCCCCCTGTGTTCCAGATACACAGGCCAACAGGCTGTGTGCTACTTTCACAAGGGCACAAGCATACACATGTATCATTTGATTCACTAGCATTGAAAGCTTGTTATCTGCCAGGCACTGTGGATGGCACCAAAAACACTCACCCCCTCACACGTAGTGGCCACACAGGGACTGTCCCACGGATGGATATGTTCACATTCGCACATATACTGAGCAACACAGACCCATGACCCATCTTCACAAACACACTAACATGCCATCAGGCAAAACAAACACTCACAAATGAGCCCCTCCCAAATACATACGCTCACACACACAAACACCAAGATGCATCATGCTTCTCCCCAGAAGCACACAAATCCACACTCACACCGGTGCCCCTGTGAGCAGCCAGGCCCAGCCCAGCCACCTGCGGGACCAGGGCCCGGCCTCGCAGGGGAGCTTGTGGGCAGGGCTCAGCATCAAGTCTCGGAGTCCCAGGCAGAGAGACAGCTCTAGCCCGAGGCGGCAGCAGGTCAGGGATCCTACCTCGCCGGCCCCCTCTCTCAAGGCCTAGGTGGGATCGCGGGAGTTTGTGCGAAGCGCTCAAGGCCAGTAGGAGGCGAGGTGCCTGTGGTCCCGCTTTATTGGGTAAAGCGAACTCAGGCACAGACCCGCACCGCTTGTGGCCACTTCCCTCTTGCCTTCCCCCTTGGAAAGCTAAGCCCGAAAACATGTATTTAAACGGGGAAACTAGACAGAAGTTCTGAAGATAAACCCAAGTAGCTACTCGCCCACGGCATGAATCTCTACAAGCCAGTCCTCCAGCAGGTAACTGGTGCACAGCCGCTCCCCGTGAGAGGCCACCAAACAGGGTTCCCAGAGGCTTGTCACCCCTCTCTTTTGCCTCCCTCTCCTCGTGGCAGCACAGAAACCAGGCGTTTTTCTCCAGCAGCAGCGGCGGCAGCGGCGGCGGCGAGCGGCCGACCCCGAAGGGACACAGTGGCCGGAAGCCGGGTTTCCTTCTTCTGCTCCTGTGACTGCGTCTGCCTTTCATTTGTTCCCGGGTCCCATACCCACACAACCCTCGAAGGTGAACCCGAACGGAGAAGGTAGAACCCAGCCCTCCAGGGCAGCTGGCCACCTCACCTGCTTGGGGGCTTGAAGCCAAGGGCTACTGAGAGCACAGAGGGAAGCTCAGGGCTGGCTATGCTTCCTCTTAATTACCCACCCCCCCCCCACGACCCTCTGCGCTAGGCAGCTCTCCCGGGCTCAGGTCAGGCTGGACCCTGGTGTCCCTCCCCTGAAGCGCATCTCCTGGGGTCCAGCTGGGCGCAGGAAGTGATGGCAGGGCGCACTTGCAAAGGTTAAAAGGGCCAGGGAGACCTGGGAGAGACGCCGGGCTAGTCTGTCCCCGGCTTCCCCCGTCCTTAGAGGAAACACCATTTGGGCCCCGGGAAGAGCAAGGACCAGCCAGGACCAGCCAGGTCGGGGCGCCGGAGTCTGGGCGCTGGGAATTTCACCTCCCTGATCCCACCAATGGGAGAGATGAACATGTTTCTGTGTTGAATGTCAGGGGGAGAAGGACCGAGGGACTTGGGCTTGGCGTCTGGGCCCTTTTGTGTGTGTGGTCCTCATCCTGATGCTACGGTTTCGGTTTCGATAGCATCAAACCTGCCTAGGGATACTGGAAGGGGACTCCAACAGGTGCGAACCGGAGCGCGAGGATGTGCGGGGTACGGCACCAGGGTGTGTGCGGGCAGTAGGGTGGTGGAACGCGCTGGTGTGCGTCGATGGGAAGGTCGCGCACCAGGGAGCACATGGCGAGCCGAGCACCAGCGCCCGCCCAGGCCGGTCCTGAGCGCTGGGGCTCCAAAGCGGAGGCACCTGGGTCTGGAGGAGGACCAGGCTCTCGCGCAGCCAGAACACAGCCCAGCGCGAGCTGGTGCTGATTCCCGGACCCTCTGCTGCCCGCGGGCCAGGTGAGCGAGAAAGGAGGGGGATCCCCAGCTCGCTGCGCCACTCCCAGGCCAGAAGCGCCTGGAGTCCTGGTGTCAGGGTGAAGGCCGCGTGAGCTGTTTCGAGGGCGTGTTTCTTCCTGGAACTCTGCGGGTCCCTGTGCGCCTGGAACTCAGAAATGGTTTTCAGGGTGGAGGGGTGGAATCCGAATAGAGAGGGTGAGATTGGGTGGCCTGCAATGGGGTGAGTTTTCTATCTGTTTCCCTAGAATCTCAGCAGCAGGGCTTGCTCCCCCTCCAGGTAGAGCCGGCGCCTGAAGTCCAGAGAGAGGCGCCCATAGGACCGTGTGGATGCGCTGAAGGACAGCCTCGCGAGGCTCACTGCATCCTTGGTTGCCCCCAAAGACTCCCTTTCTTGGAGGGACCCACAAACCTGAGGCTGGCACAGGGTGGGCATGTAGGGGCAGGCCTTCTCTAGGACGCGAGCAGCCCTAGCCCTGCCAGGGCTGAGTCAGGAACTACCAGGGGCCCAGCCCTCCTTGGGTGCCAAGCGCGCCCGCACTCGCCGAGTAGCGGTACCGCGCAGGGACTCT